TAATTGATAAGGGCAATAAGGTATACATATATGTTGATTTGATGAGAAGAAAATAGATATAACAGTAAAGGATTTTTGTTAACCAATATTAATTATAACAACTAACAATGGAATGATAAGGATAAAGGATACAGTTAGTGATATATATATGTACTACCATAACAAAAGGAACCTGGACACAAATTGTAAACAGTGATTTGGGTGTGGGGGAAGGGCTTAGAAATTTTGTCAACTCATTTTTCTTTAGAATATGTTATAAAGGTTTAAGGCTATTGGATGACACTGTAATAATTAATGAAATGCCATTAGGTGGTTGTGCTTTTAACTATGGATTATTCTAGGCAAAAGGACACTAAAACAATTTCAGTCAAATGAAAACTATGATATATTGAAAGTAAGACTCATTAAGAACTTTGACATTTGATATGAATGTAAGTAATGACTGTGGAAGAGATGCACGAAAGCTAATGGTAACCAATTGACACATTTTCTACAAGATGTAATGTAAGATGATTATTTGTGTGTGTGTTGTTTGTTTAATAAAAAAATTGTAAAGAAAATAAAAAATAAAAGGTCTGATGGACTCCGGACTGGAGGTTTTGTGTCCATTCACTGATGGAAATTGAGACTGCAATACGGTACACAAATAGTAGGAACTTGACATTTCCTGATGTTTCTGAACCAAAACAGTAGAATTTCTATTAATTGATTTGGGTATTTTGGAAGCTTTCAGTGCCTTCAGCTATACTATCTTTCTAGTAAGGCTGCTCAACAAAACAAACATGAATTTTCTGCCAGATCTTTTGGGACTATTATTCCAAATTCCGTTCCTAGTGGATAAAGATACTTCAATCTGTCCTAACGTCTACCCAACCCCCCTTGCTGGATACATTATTGGGCCTTTAGACAGTGGAAGGAAAGGGACTGGTAGGCTCAACTGTGTACATGTTGTTTTGGTTCATTTTAAGTTTTGTTAGTAAGCTAGCCTGAGTATTATAGAACTGAAATAGAGATTCCTAGCTAAATAATAAACAATCAAATTAGAAACAAGGTAGTTTAGAGCAGTGGTGGGCTTCAGTTTTTTTAAGAACCTCTTCGGTAGGTGTGGCCTGCTTTGTGGGAGTGGCTTGCCAACCATGTGACTGAGTGGGAGGGGCTTGGCAGCCATGTGACTGGGTGGGCGTGGCCAACTTGTAAAATGTAGTGAAACTCATTTCACGACGCTCTTGCTTAGCAACCAAAATGTTGGCTCAGAAACTCTGGCATTTCAAGCGTGCAAGTCTTAAAGCTGTCAAGTTAGGGGTACCCTTGTACCCCTAATCCTTTAGGGAAAAAAACCCAGGAGTGTTCAAACTTGGCAGCTTTAAGACTTGTGGACTTCAACTCCCAGAATTCCTCCTCCAGTCATGTTGACTCAGGAACTCTGGCATTGAAGTGTGCAATTCTTAAAGCTGTCAAGTTACAAGATCCTTGCACCCTTAACCCTTTAGAAAAAAAAACCAGGGATGTTCAAACTTGACAGCTTTAAGACTTGTGGACTTCAACTCCCAGAATTCCTCCTCTCACTCTTCATCTTGATGATGTGGTGGACGGGCGGGGGGGAGGGAGCTGGAACCAGTTCTAAACGGCACTGTAGATTTTTGGAACCTCTTCTATAGAAGAGGTTGGAACTGGCAGGAACCCACCCCTGGTTTAGAGACAAATTGTATGTGTTGCAATGATGCAGCTAAAAAAGATCTATAGCTATGAGAGTAGAATAAAATGATTTGAAC